ATTTTAGTATTTAATGCAAGCTATCGCGCACAAACACACACACACACACACACACACACACACACACACACACACACACACACACACACACACACACACACACACACACACACACACACACACACACACACGCAAGTACCGACGTAAGCATAGATTGAAGACAGAGGATCGGAGAGATATGATCACCACATACAAAATTCGCAGGGAAATATACAGGGGTAGATATGGATAGATTATTTAACGCTGGTTTAACTCGTACAAGAAAACACAGGTGGAAGCAGAGTGCCCAAATGAGCCACAGAGATATTAGAAAGAACATTTTCAGTGTCAGAGTAATTAATAAATGGAATGCATTAGGAAATAATGTGGTACAGGCTGACTCCATACACAGTTTCAAAGGTGGATATGATTGAGCCCAGTAGGCTCAGGAATAAGTACACCAGTAGGATGACAGTTGAGGCGAGATCAAAGAGCCGCAGCTCAACCCCCGCAAGCACAACTATGTGAGTATTACACCGACTAGCGAACACATGCACGCAAACTCACACATACAACCGCATTAGACAACCCGCGGCTAGAAAAGTGGGGTCCAAGAGCTAGAGCTAGATCCTGCAGACAAAAATAGGTGAGTAGGCACACACAGCGGTCCGGTGACACAGCCAACGACTCAACCGACGATCGCGGTCCCAAACTCAGCTACAGAGTCGAGCACAGCTGCTCATACTGGCCATCCAGTAGTTCACCTCAGTGGCTCATTTCACTACTTTAGCATATCAAATTGACGTTAAAAACTGAGCAGCGATTTGGCTTCGACAGTATCCTCGTGTTGTCCGTTCCAATTATGGCTCTAAGTTCTCTAAAAAAAAAAGTTCTCTCTGACCTACATAAGTCACCTTTGTTTCCTTTTTACAAATAAGGTCTTTCGCTTTACTGTTCCTCTTTGAAAGTAAAACTTTTATGTTTACTTTGTCAGTCTCTCTCTCAGTATATAGTGAATTATTAGCATGTCGGCTTTATTACTTCTTTCCACGAGTGTAGTAAGGTCCAGTTCCCTCAGTCTTTCTTCATTGCCCAGGAACGATCTTTGTTGCAGAATTTTTAACCTTTTCTAATTTTCTTTTGAGTTCATTTAGGTTAGGGTTGCATTTCTGGGAAGCATACTCAAGAATAGGTCTCACAAATGATGCATAGAGCGCTCGAAAGAGTTCTTTGTCCTAATTTCTGAAGGACAAAACCTTTGCCAGTACGGAATATGCTGCAGTCGTTTTTCTTGTTGATGTGTGTTTCTGGTTCAAGATCTCTAGTTATGTCCACTCATTTTTTAGGAGAGAGAACTTGTCCTTGCTTCATCCTGTAATGTGTTTGTATCCTAGTAACCTGGCCTTTGTCATGGTTAAAATATAACAACATTTTCATAGACCATCTTTTGAGATTGCTTAGTTTAGCTTGCAATGTACGAGAGTCCTTAGTTCTGATTCGTCTCATTAGCTTAGCATGATCGGCAAACATTGATAAGAATGAGAAAACTTCTTCTGCGTGATCGTTCAAGTGTATTAAGAATAGGATGGTCCTTAGTACTGACCCTTGAGGTACTCTACTCATTACCTCTCCATTCTGATAGCTCTCCTCTATCCATGACTCTTACTTCCCTTTTTGAAAGGTATTCCTTTGCCCACTTTGAAGGCTAAAGGAGTACCTTGCAGATACACTAGTATTTTTTTTTTTTAAATTTGTCACTGGAGTCACTTGTGAGGAACAATGTCAATAGCTTTCTGACAATTCTGTAAATTGCAGTCTGCCCAGCTATCTCTCTCTCTTGTTTGACTGTCATCATGCTCCCATAGAAATAAAAAATATGCTGGTCAAGTAGAATTTTTATATTTATTTTTTATGAAATCCTATTGATGCTTTCAACCAAAATTCATAGGGCCATACTGCACTACGAGTCTTCTTTAAATCATTATATTTAATACCTTATGTTTAGCAAAATCGGCTTGAAGAGCAGTGCTACCGTGTTCCTCCGCTCCTGTATATGGCTACCACATTAGCCACTTTCAGTTTCAGAAGTTCTTTATCTCTATTGATGAATTTTAGACTGTAGCAAAGAGCCCAAATTATGTTGCTGCTCCCTTTTTCACTATCCATAGTGAGCTCTTGTCATGGCCTACGACCTACATCACATCCACCCCATCTAAGTGTGTTTTTTACACCCTCTTTGGTCAATTCTGTTTCAATCAATCTTTCTTTTAATATTCTGACTATTCCATTACAAATCGTAGATCTAGGGACAGCTCGAGTTCTACTCTAGAAATTTCCTTGATGCTTCAGTTGAGTTCTTCACGCACTTTCTTATAATTATTTGTGATCACTTCCTTATTGGTGTAGCCTGCTCACTTGTTCATTTACCTGTTAATACAAAAAAAGGAAGGCGGAGTGTTTTCAGAGGTTTGCCATCAGAATTGGCTCAGAGTTGACAAATATGAGAATATGAGAAGCTAAAGGATGTTATCCTTAGCTCTAAGAAGCCCTTTGACTTCTTAGTGAGCGAAGATCAAGAAAGAAATTTTGTCAAGACTGATCTAAAAACAATATAGCTGGGAACTAAATACTCGAATGAACCACGGCGATATGAGAAATATTTTTTCATTGACAGAAGAGTTTAGCATATAGAGTGAACTGAATATGATGAAGAAATCTAATTCCAATAAGCTTGGGAACCTGTACACCAGGTTATTGAACTTGGAGAGGTTGAATCAAAGCACTTAGGAGCAACCCGTGCAAGCACAAGGAAACGAAGCAGCCACATCTATAATATTGCCGGATAAATAGACAGAGTTAACAAAAATAAAAAAATCTTTAATGTCACAGTGCAGCTCTGCCAGGATGTGCATGGTCGACCTTACTGCTTCCTCGATTATTTTTATAAGATCCCATCCTCCTGAAATGACGGTACTTATAATAACAATTTGGTCCAAAGTGCCAATAGGAAGTGATCGACCACCAATAAACTACTTTTTTGTACTATTAATTTGATACAATAAAGCTAAAATCCAAATTTAAATATTCCCTGGCCTTGTATAGCATTTATATGTCCTATATAAAACCTAAGCGTATATATCTATGTCATGGTTAAACTTGTCAAAATTCAAATACCCAAAAATCAACTTTCTGATGGTCCATCACTACATATTGGTACTTTCGACCAAATAGTTAAAATAAATACTTTCATTTTATGAGGACGAATTTTTCTGTATAGGTGTATATAAATTTTCCTGTAATAGGCCTTTTTTTGCTTTACTTAGTAAAATTTCTCCAATACTCGAATTGTATTTTCAATTCCAATTTAATTCCAATTTCGTACTTAGAAAATCTTATCTAATACCTGTATTGAATTTACAATGCTTCTGTAATACCTGCACTGCACTTATTAATACAGAAGTATTGCTAAGTACAAAACTAAGATCTCTGTTATTTTTCTTTGATTTCATTCACTGAATATGTTTATGTAATTAGTTAACTCATCAACTTTCTCAAGAAGCTTTCTTAGACATGCAACTATCTTTGAAGATCAATTAATATAAAAATAAGAAGAGGTTATTTAGTTTCTAAGACCAAATCATGTATTGGTTTTGCAAGTATACCTTCTGTTTCTGTCTCGGGGAAACACTTTAAAACTTTCTACGTAGAATCTAGTAGATGCATAGATTATTTTATAGCCTAACAATTTATGACAAATAAATTAAACATTGTTTTACCTACCGAGGTTGCCAGTCAATCATAAAACCAAGTTTTCGTTTTTTTTTCTCACCAAGACCTAAATAATAAGATTAAAAACTTTTAATATCCTCCCATCATAGTGAATTGGAACTCGTGCTATACCATGGGTACCCTTGGTAATATGAACAGGAATTTTCTGAATTTACTAGCATCTCTATATGTCTAGGTTTACTAACATATCTAAATGTCTATTTTTACTAACATGTCTATATGTCTAGGTTTACTAACATGTCTATATGTCTAGGTTTAATAACATGTCTATATGTCTAGGTTTACTAACATGTCTGTATGTCTAGGTTTACTAACTTATAAATATGTCTAGGTTAACTAACATATCTATACGCATTGGTTTACTAACATATTAATATGTCTAGGTTTACTAACATATCTATACGTATTGGTTTACTAACATATAAATATGTCTAGGTTTACTAACATAACTTCGTGTCTATATATGTTAACATCTATGTGCCCAAGTTTACTTACATCTAAGTGCCCCGGTTTACTAACATCTATGCGCCCAGGTTTACTATTGTGTACGCTATTATTAAGTTCCGTTTCTTGTTTGCTATCTATTTTGTTGGCATTGAAGAGGTTGTAAATGTGGCTTCTAGAATTGAATTTGCATTCTACCTACAATTTCGGTTTTTCAATAATAATATTACACATCACTACTTATGGATTAATTCTAGCTTCCATTCTATCGCCTTCGTTGTACCTGTTGTACTTCTCTCATATTGGCAAGTTTTACTACAGCCTCGCTGAATTTGAATACCAATATTGTGTCTAAACATCAGTTGACTTGGCTAGCTTCTGCTCTCCATTCTGATTATTTAATTACATCCTTCATGGATTATTGTGTTTATAAAACCGATAATTCTCTCTACAGTCCACCTGGTGAACTTCTAATCCTCTATCTGTGAGCATAATCTAGATGAGCAGCTACAAATACCTTTCAATGCTTCAGGTTTCTACTTTGAATCTTGCCTAATTCTAATTTACTTCCTGTCGTCTCATTTATGAGTAGATTATGCATAGGTCTATATTTCTACTGAGTCCAAACCTAGTCTCTGTCTATGGCAGGTGTGTTCCCAGAAGCATATGTGTGCTGTCTATCACATCTCCTGAGGGATGGCATAATGCAGGTGTGGAATAGATAGGATCGGAGTGGATCAGGTATGGAAGGATTGTTGAACAGGTGAGAAAATGGGAAGCTGGCTCACCTGTCTCTCCATTGAGTGGTGAGTCTTGCACGGGAGGAACACAGAGGCCCCAAGCTGCGCCGTGATGTTAGTAACACTGTTATTTTTGGCTGTAGCGGAAGCTGTAGCTGTTAATCCTTGTTCTTCCTCTCCTCCTCCTCCTCCTCCTGCTGCTGCCTCATCGCCCTCGTCGTCGGCAAACGCAGCAGAGACGGAGGCAGCGGTGATAAGCAAGGGCCCAGGAAAGTCATCACCTGATGAATGGGAGGGAGGGGATGTGACTCTCTGTGGTACACGACCCCCATCACCTGAGCCTAGAGGGAGAGACGATAGCATATATCACAATTATACTCAAAAAATTATAGAGAGCAACAATAATGATTATAATAATATCAACCATATATCATCCCAGCAAATCCTTTCAGCAATAACACGAATGATTTCACGAATTTCAATATATTTTCTCTGATAACATGCGGGAGTTCAGCGATAACACTTGGCACCTAACGCAGATCTACGTTACTGTTAATATTTCTGACAGCTGAAACTGCCCAAAAAATACTTTCTGTGATGACTCGGTCCTGGAATAATTTGGAAGGATCAGGGAATACTCTAAATGGCACAGGGAGACCCCGTCTGACTACAGCGACATGGAGAAGGTTCAATTTGCTGCTGCTGCTGCTGTTTTTACTGTTGGTGCTGATGTTAATGCTGCTGCTGCTGATGCTGTCACTGCTGCTGCTGCTGCTGCTCGTACGTCTACTGATCCTGCTACTGCTTTTACTGCATTTACTGCTGTCATTGGTGCCGCGGTTGATGTTATTACGGTTTCTGCTGCTGCTGCTGCTGATTCTACTTCTGCTATTACTCGTGTTACTGCTATTGATGTTGCTGCAGCTGTTAATGCTGAAATTTACACTGTTGCTGTTATGTTACTGCTGCTACTGTCGCTGCAATTGTTACCGCTGCTGTTCCTACAGCTGCTGTTCTCTTACTGCTATTGTTGCTTATTGCTAACCTGCTGCTGCTGTTATAGTTACCATTGCTGCTTTTCTGTAACTTCTTGTGCCTTTTCTCCTGCTTCTGCTGTTCTGTTACTGCTGCTTCTACTTTAACTACTATTACTATAAGTATTAGATAATAATAAAGTACAAAATTATATTGAAATCCAATATTTGTCTGGAAACAATTGAAGGAATAATAATAATAATGAACAAATCCACAAGCGCCTCGTTGAGGGTTCGAACCTATGCCAAGAGTGTTCCCAGACGCGCTCTAGTCCACTGAACCACAACATGGTCGTGGTTCAGTGACTAAAGAGTGCCTGGGAACTCCCAGCGTATAGATTCGAATCCTTGCACGGCTCCTGTGGATTTGTTCATTGATATATGATGTTAATGAGATTTCTTGCGTGTAATAAAACTAATAATAATGTTAAATTATTATTATTGTTATTATCAATAACAACGAGACCCTTGTTGTAGATATGATGTGAGAATCTAACCATCCTTGACAGCTAATTAAGTATTTGAGTTAAATACATCAACGGTTATATTCGGCCTCATTTGATCACCATTAGCGATCTAAAGGTACCTGTAATTAGTTCCTAATGATCCATTGGAATTTCCCATTAATACTGATCAAACACCCCTTACATATCATTTAAATGTCATTATCATTCGAAAGTATATATATATATATATATATATATATATATATATATATATATATATATATATATATATATATATATATATATATATATATAAATATATATATATATATATATATATATATATATATATATATATATATATATATATATATATATATATATATATATATATATATATAAAATATACCATTGAAGCTAGAATACAATCCCGTAACTGGGACTGCCAAGCCATACACTGTCTTTGATCTAACAATTTTCTCAGACGTAGTTATGTGTAGAACTGATTATATCGAGAAAGTGAAACTTTGATCACACATGTGCTCTGGGTGACACGTTATTGAAACTGTTCTTTAAACTGCTGTTATCTTACTGCTGAAAAACTTTTATTTTTTTTCGTTTAGTAGAGAAGGTATTCTATGCTAGTCACACTCCTGGCTATCTCTATTAACGTCTCTCCACCTTTCCCTCTCCCTCTCCCTCTCTCTCCCTCTTCCTCTCTCTCTCCCTCTGTCTCTCTCTCTCCCTCTCCCTCCCTCTCTCTATCTTCCTCTCTCTCCCCGTATTAGAAGCCATTAGTGCGTAACATTAATGCTCTCTCATCCTGATGGCGTTCACTTGCTTCCTATCCCAATTCTCCAAACTAAGTGTTCATCGTTTCCCTCTCATTCCCTCACATCTCCACCCTTGTTCTCTCCTTTCCCCCCTCACTGTTTTTGTCTTTAATCCCTATTCTCAAATGCATTTCAAAAAAGACCACACCCTTAATTTTTTTTGTCTCTCTCTCGCCCTGTGTTTCTCTAACTCCATCCTCTCCCACCTGCACTTCCCCCTCTCCCATCACACAATATCCTCCCATTCCTTACCTCTCAATCTCATCCTCTCCACTTACGTCATTCCACTCTACTGCCTCACCATCTCTCCTCTTCACAAAATTCTCTACTTCCTCGCCTCTCACACCCTTTCTCACCCCACTCTCTGTCTCTTTACCTCTCTTTCTTTGAACCACCCTCCGCCTATCTCCCCTCAATCTACTCTCTCTTCCCATACCTCTCCTTCCTTCCCTTGCGTTACAAAGCCTACGTAGTCATTTATCTTCCAGTACTAACCCAAACATATACACAGACATAAGTCATACAGAAAAATCCTCTTAACCCATATATTCTCCCATGTTCCTTCCTCCCACTATAATAATCCCTCCACTAAAATCCTTCTTTTCCCCTTCCCCTCCTCCATTATAATCTCTTCTCCCCTCCCCTCTGTCGCAAAGGAAACAATGCATCAAATTTAATGTACTCAACTTAAGAGAGGCTGTTACTGGTGGAGTGCCCCGGGGCCTAGTCCTGGGATCTCTCTTGTTTACTATGTGAATAAATTGTTTACGTACCGGAGCGAGCGGCAATAATAGTCAATTTACTGATGACACTAAATTGTGGCGGGTATTAAACATTGACGTACATTAAGACTTGCTGCGAGAAGACCTGAATTGGACTTCCGAAATCGGCTGAACATTGGCAAGTGGTGACAATTGTAGAATCGTATTAAATAAAATATAGAGATGCAAGATATCATTTAAATATTACCGAAATTGTAAAACACGACGCCAAAAAAAATTAACAAAAAAACTTTCTTATATATATATATATATATATATATATATATATATATATATATATATATATATATATATATATATATATATATATATATATAAACGAGACAACCCACTTCACAGACAATCAAGCTGGAGCAATTCTGAACAAATCTACAGCAATTCAGGAAAAGTCTGAAGCAATTCATATGTGGCTAAAATAGTTTAGTAAGTGGTTTATTTATTTTATATATACAAGAGTTCTTACATTCTTGTAATGCCACTAGCACGCATAGCGTTTCGGGCAAGTTCTTAATCCTAATATTTCCCGGAATATTCCCCGCCAAATCGTTTAACAACCAGGTGCCCATTTTACTCATGTGTAAACAAAGGCAACAGTTAAGGATTGACGCCCAGTAAATCCTCCCTGGCCAGGATACGAACCCAGGCAAAAGCGCTCGCGAAACGCCAGGCAAGCGTCTCACCACTACGCCACGAGGACAGCAAATGAGCTACTGAGAATGTCAATTAATGTTACAGCACGAAACATTAAATTCCAGTTTGATATGCTGAGATTTAAAAAAAAAGGCCGAACAGTGGACCGAAAATGGATTCCATAACGATGGAATAAGGTGGCATAGAGTACCACTGAATCAGACTCATTAGAAAGTTTCAACCATCGATTACATCCATACCACAGACGCTGGGATTGCTTATAACAACGAAATACCTTCGCAGGAGCTAATTAATGGCTGCAAATTCTTGTATTCATTTGTTGGAATATATTATTATTGTTTATTCCTCTCATCTTCCATCATCTCTTATTCCTCATTTTCCCCTTAACAATAGATATCCTCCCCCCACACACATAATTCTTTCCCCTCTCTTTCAGCCCCATAACACTACTCTTTTTGCCCTACCTTCCCTCAAGACTCCGTCCCACAGCGAGAAATATTTTGGATAGCCGAAAAATATATATAAAATGTGATGAAATATGTAATCAATCACGCCTGCTGCTCCACGCTCCCAAAAGGTCGACATTTCTCTTACTTCCAAAAAGTACACCGCAAGCATTTCTCCACGAGTGCATGTACGCTCTGAGATGCACGTATATACATTGATACGTGAAGTCAAATACGATTGTAATCATCCACGTACATTCATAAGTGTACACACACACACACACACACACACACACACACACACACACACACACACACACACACACACACACACACACACACACACACACATACACATGCACATTGCGTGATGTTGTTGTATTTTCCTGTTCAGTGTCAAGGGGAAGTCTAGAAGCTTTTTGAAATCCCTGCCAAGCCATGACATTAAGTCTGCTGAAAAAAGTAATATGTTTCTGTTTAATTATATCAATTACAAGCATGCCTTATAGTCAGAAGCTCAGGCTCATTCAGTCTTACACACACACACATACACACACACACACACACACACACACACACACACACACACACACACACGCTTACACAAATTCTTCCTCCACATGGGAACAAATATGCTAGAACACGAAAAATTAAACGTCTCAAAGAACAGACATAACACAAAGCCCGGCACCAGAGGAGCACAGAGGATAATAACGCTGTCACCATAAGGGTAACAATCAGGATCCTGGATGATAAAACTTTCAAGGGTCTTTATGCTACGTTGAGAGTTATATGCAAGTCCATTGAGTCAGTATATTTGATGACCGACAACTGAAAATTCTGGTGTTCGACCTTCCAATTAAAATTCTGCGAGCACACACACAAGTACAGATTCATATTTACACATAGACACAAGGTAACACATACTCGGACACACAAAAATACACATACATACATATGTGGAGTATGTCACCCCGACCTTGAATCTATGAAAACTTAAAGCAAAACTTTAACAAATAAAGCGGTGTGCAGCGAGGTTTGTACCTGCTAGGATTGAACTGTGAGAGGGAAGTGCATAAAGGGAAACGGGAGAGAGAGGGGACATGATACAGACATACGCGATTCTGAGAGAAAATTATAAGGATTAGAGAACACATGTTCAGTATTTGGC